TTGATCCTGGAAGGTATATCCCAAGACAGTACAATGTAAATCAAAGTTCTACTTTGACATCGCAGAGGACATACATTTTAAGATCAAACGTCTTTATTGTTAGAGGTGAAATGAACATAAACTCAGACCACTGATATCGTGTTACCGATTAACTTGAAAAAATTGCGACGATTTAAATATTTTTTTACGGAAATTTGCTGAAAAGAAAAAAAAAACAATTAGATAATAGGACATTTTTAAAATGTCAAAAGGACAGAATATTTCTTACAGGTAAAGAATCTTGTCTTTAATTTTATAGATTTCGAGAAAATAAAGCACAAAATTGAAAATACGACTTTCTACTTCTTTGAAAAATAAAAATAAAATTTTTTCTAAACGTACTATAGCAAAAACTAGTTAGTACTTTTACAATTTTCTACCAATAAAAAATATAAGCTTTAGGTATTTTAGTGAATGCAAAACTGGAGATACCCCCCAAGGTACAGATTTATTGAAAAAATCTTGAAAGACTTTTTATGAATTTATACAAAACATATTCTTGTAGTCCTGTCTAGTCTATACATTAGAAAATATGAGCCCATTTTAAACGCGTGTATCTCAAAAAAGTATTTGTGGTATCAATGTCCGACTTTCACGCGACGGCTTCAAACATATTTAAGTTTTTTTCAATTATACAGAGTATAATACATATCAAAGTTATGTTTTTTAATGGGACACTCTGTATATTATTGCATTTTTGAAATGTGTAAAAAAAGTGTAATTTGTTATACTTAGAGTCTACAATTTACGTGTTAAAATGTTTTCAAAAATATAGGACGTGTAAAAAATATGCAAATATGTGTCCCTTTAATGAATTATTTTCATAAATTATAAGAACCAAGTTAATATCTCTAAAAAACTATTACAGATAGGTATAGGGAATATACAACTTCTTTGAAATGGTTATGAAAGATATTTCAAATAATTTTAAAATATACTGGGTGTTCTATTTAAAATAACGGAGTTTAAAGCTACGTTTAAAAAATATTTATTTCATAAACACCCTTAATAAATATTTGAATTTACAGCCCAGAAAACTCTAAATTTATCTAAAAAACCAATTTAAAATATTAAGAAATTTAGGTCATATTAAACGCCCCATATTTTTGAAAACACTTGAATATATCAAAAATGATAAGCTTCGTTTTACAAATCCTTAAGAAAGTTACACTTTTTTTTGTAGATTTCAAAATGCCGTAAAATACAGGGCGTGTCCTATTTAAAGAACCAGCTTTGATTATATTACTTTCCTGGAAAAACCTGTATATATTTTTTTAAATTGTTGCTTTTTCTAATATACATAGTTTTAGCTCTACAAACCGAGGTGTTAGTTACTCAGAAGATATGGGATTTTTTTTAATAATAAGATTTGAAAAAACTTCATAGGGCAATCGCCTCTGCTTCTATAAAAACTTAAAATAGCTCATATCAAAGTTGTCTACTGGGAGTAGATTTCTGTCAAATTGACATTTAAAAAAAAATTATTTTTAAAAAATATACTGAATTTGACCAGTAAGTAATGTAGTACAAATGGACCATTTTAAACTTTTAAAAAGCAGAATTGAATATCCTACGACGTTTTTTCCAATGATAATGTTAAAAAAGTTTGATTATGGATCCAACTTTATGGAACACCACTGTATATATTCATTGCCAACGAAAATATTGAAAAATTAATATTTTACTTTTCCTTAAATTTTAGAGAAATCATGTATGGAACAAAAATTAAAGAGAATATTTTTATTTGTGGTCATAATTATTAATAATGGTAAAACATATAAAGCAATTAATTTTAGTATAATAGTAAAATTTTAAGTATGGAAAATCTCGAAGTAAAATTTTAAAAAATATTCCTGAACGATTAATAAACAATTTTCGTAAAAATTCGAATTTTGCACTTTTTGTCAAATTTCTCGAATACGGACCATTTCAGAAAAATTATGTATAAGAAATAAATTATAGAAAATAACATTATAAGCAACTTTTATTTGAAGAATTTTCTTCTCTAAGCGTAAATAACATATATTTTCTATAAAATAGAAAAACGACCCCTTATAAAGTTCCGACTATGCACGAAATTTAATCAGGTCACCGTAGGTTGAATTAAAGCTTAAGTTTAAAATTTGGAGTTTTTCTCTATATCTGTTCATGAATTATCGAGTATATAGACACATATGATGGTGAGTGAGGGTTTCCGGGTTTTCCTCACCTGTAAGTCAAATGGCACCATCAAACATTTTTAAGCCGCCCCAGAGCGCCACGGCAAATAATAATAGCCGTCCCTTCCCCACACAAGCTCAGAAGGCTTCACAACTAAGGGGGTGAATTAGGGAAAGTATTATTATTATTATACAGACACACCGATACAGAAACACAGACACACCGATACAGAAACACAGACACATAGACATACAGACACACTGGCAGACATCATTGTAAAAATAGTCAAAACGGATTCAGGGGACCCTAAATAGTAAAAATCCATCAAAAATTCGAGGTCGAAAAAAATCATGATTCCTATACTTTCCTTATCTGTATACAGACAGAAGAGTAAAAATGGAAAAGGGGATTTTATGCATGCCTAAAAATGTTCCACACTGCCTAATAAAAAAAACAATTTTGATATGTATTGGTTTCCTGGAAAATCCTGTAGTCTTTTCTAATACACATCTTGCAGTTAAAAAATAACTTTTTTGCTTTACAAACTAACACGTCGTTTACCGATGGCCCACCCTGTATAATATTTTTATTTTTTTAAACCCATACACTTTTAAAATGGGAAAAAATATTTTATTGAATATCTAAAAAAATCTAACTTTGATATGTATTACTTTCATGGAAAATACTGTATAAATGAAATTATTTTTAAATTATGACTTTTAAATGCATAAAACTTTAATTTGAAGCGTGTTTGCATGTCTATGGCATAAATTGAAATATCAAGCAATTACGCACTAACTCTGTAAAAGCAAAATTGTTTACGAAATCACGAAAAATTAATGTAAAAACTCGTAATATTTAATAAAGCAACATAATATTCATTGTATAATGTAAAAAACATCAACTTCAAAGAAATATAAATAATATGGTTCTAAACATAAAAAATATCAAAAGAAAAGTAATATTTAATGTAAGTATTGAAGAAGGTCCAAACTGGATACCAAAAGCTATAAAAACGTAAACCACATTGTTTTATTTAATCCAACACCCAACACCTAAACCAAAGTTATTCTTATTTCAAGATAAAAGATTTCACATAAATATAGGGAAATTAATTTTGAAAAATTCTGTATACACTTCTACTTAAAACAATCCTAATCAATGAAACATTGTAAATCTAAAAAAAAATGTTATAATAACTGATTTATCATTCTGGCATTATTAATCAATAAATATCGAATTCTCCAACTTATGTTAGTAAAATTTTAATCAGTTTACTAAAAATAAATATATCAACCCATAATATTTGACCTAGGCATTTATTACGGTTGAATTTATGTCCATATTTTGATTAAAAATCTAATATCTAATAAAACTAGAATGAAAATATATAATGCTTGGCATTCTATATGATACTCTTCACAGTTAAACAACCCTCCTTTTAACCCCCATTTTTAATCACTTTTGTAGAAATCAATAGGCTTCGTCCCATTGTAGAGCTTGATTTTTACCTGAAAATTTCAAGTTGATATTGTTCTTAGTTTTTGTTTCATGACTTTTTTTAATTTTAAACCCCCCTAATCCCCCATTTTTAATTAGATTTCAAAATCAATAGGCTTTGTCCCCTTAGAGATTGATTTTTCCTGAAAATTTCAAGTTGATATTGTTTTTCGTATTTGATTTATGAATTTTTTAAATTTTAAACTCCTTACCCCCATTTTTAATCAGATTTTTTTAGGGTTTGATTTTCCCTGAAAATTTTAAGTTGATATTGCTTTTCGTTTTTGTTTTATGATTTTTTTAAATTTTCCATCCATAACCCCTCCATTTTTTATCAGATTTTTTTCAAAATCAATAGGCTTCGTACCCTTATAAGGATTGATTTTTCTTCAAAATTTTAAGCTCATATCATTTCTCGTTTTTGACTTAAGGTGCAGGCAAAAAACGTGACATAGGACAGACGAACATTTTTAAAAGTTGTTTAAAATTTGATGAGAAGGATTCTGGTATAAAAAATTTTAAATTTGGATGAATATTAGAAATGTTGGTATCCTGAAAGTAAACCTATAATACTCTTCACAGACTACTGTGTGAAGAGTATAATAATTACTAAAGCATCATATTCCTCAGCACAGATTCGGCAATTCAGTACCTACATTTTGACAGATTGATACTTATTCGCCTGTTTAATAAAAAGAAAACATCTTCCCTTAAAATACATAAATACACAAAACAAGATAAATCTGAATATTATTTCTTGAAAGCCATCCCTCGTCTTCGACTTCATAATATTCGTGAGTTCGTAAAAATTTACGTAAATAATTTAGGCACTAGTGGTGTTATATGTGAAAATAAATTAATATTTAATATGTCCCTTTAAGAATGAATCATTTATAGATGTTTGCAATACACCAGCAGATTTGGTAGCCATGTTCTGCCTTGATCATCGGATCTCTCACTCCTATTTAGAGATGACATATTTTTGATGCCGGCTTCACAAGAAATACTATCTCATAAATGACTAGTTGGGGATATGGTTTTCACGAATTTTAACACCTAAACAAACGTTGATAATTTATAGTACATTAATCTAGCTATAATTTTCCAATATGGCAGCAGCAGATGAAAGTTCATCATACAGCTGAAAAGGTCCTAACTTGTTGCGATATAAAAAAGTACAAAAGTAATGTTAAAGTAAACCCGAGAACACAAAGCTGCTGTTAGACAGAGACATAAGCAGCTATTTTTATTTCGGTAACGTTATACTCATGTTATACTTATAAAAATTAATATGAATTAATATGCAAAAGAGAGTAAGGTATACGAATACGTTAAATATCAAGTAGGTCATTGTTTGTGGATATCCTGTTACATAGTATCATTGATTACACGGATTTATCATACTTCTTCGTTTACAATAAATAAACGAGATCAATTACAGTCAATGTAGTAGGTTCATTAATGTTCTGATACGATATAATGTTTGGTTAAACTAAACTGGTTCAATTGACAATATTCGTTTACTATACCGGCACCATACTCAGCACAATTAAAATCATTAAAACTTTTGTTTGTTTTGGAGTTCCAAAATGTTAACAACTCTGATTTCCTAACAAATAAGATAGGTACATTAATTATGACTTATATGCTCTTTAAATGATTTACAAGAATTGTGTGAATTATATTGTGATTTAAATAAGTTGAATGTAATTATTAATTTTGTTTAAAAACGTTTTGTAAAGTACTTACTTTTAAGTTGGGTATTACTTTGTGTTATACAATTGAAGGGGTTATGTTATAAAAAGATATTTTTATATGATGAACGATTTAATTAAATTCATTGACATTTTTAATGAAAATTCGATTGGTAAGAGGGATTATGAACTAATTAGACACACTTACAAGCAAGATGCATACAGTATCGACTATCGAACACCTTCCAATACGGTTTGCACAGGTGGATGTGAAAACTACATAGAGTTCGCATTAGAGCGACCAACGATACAACGCGGTCGGGCGTATAAACTGTTAACACTGATATTATTTGTTTCCTGCTTGCCCTAATACTGACTCTCTGTAGTTTTCACATCTACTTGTGCAAACCGTATTGGAAAACGTTCAGGGAGCGGCACTGTATATGTATGTAATCAACAAAGAAATCTGGATTTTTAAAAATGTTATTTGGTCTTTGAGTTATGAAATAGATCTTTAAAACTAATATGACGATAGATAAATATATAGTTAAAATTACATATATACTATGGTATTTTTTTTATTTTCTTAAAAGCAGATATCGAATAATTTATAAGTAAAATTCACGATATGTCAACATGTATGTAGTAATTCGATGACATATTTTATTTACCTTAATTTGTTTTTTGTTACAGGATCGATGTGGAGTTAACGCAAATGGTAGCAGCCCTTTAGAAAATATGAGAGGATTAGAACATTATTTGAATGATATTATGAGTCCACACAGCAACACGACTGATATGAAAGGTATATGTTCGATTTCTTGCTTAACGTATTTCCAGGACAACCCTATGCGGTTTTAATATGGCTCTAAACAAGGGTTACTTGACTCTGGACTCTCTGGAGCCAAGTCGAAGTTTATTGCGTAAATATAGTTTACAGCTTAAACCATTGTACCATTAAGATCACATAATAATAATTATTGTTGAAACGATTGTTTAATTTAAAAATAGTTTATTTATAATTTAATTACAACGTACTAATTTATTTATTGATTACTTAAGCACTATTATAATTCACACTTCTAATTTATTTTTAAACATTTACTTATCGATTTCTCACTGCTATGGCTCGACTTCGACTGACTGAATTCCTATGCAACACGGCCCATTTATATATAAATTGGTGTATGCACTAGAGTATTCGCGTTCTCACCATTTATTAGACAGGCGTCTCCGGCAGTTTCTAGAATTTATTTCTAGTACATTTCCGAATGAATGATTCACACCGGCTATCTGTAAGCATAGGTATCCCTGTAGTTGGGTAAAGATCGTTTATACCCTTCATTGTTCCTGGTTTTAAGGACAAGTGGGTTCGTAACAAGCCCCAAACAAGACAGATGAACTCAAAAGATCAAAGCATGACCAAATTGATCGGAAATGGCTCAAATTACATTATTATTAAACTAAAATGAAAATTTATAATGCTTGGCATTCTATATCATACTCTTCACAGTTTAACAGACCCCCTTAAACCCCATTTTCAATCAGATTTTTTTTTAGAATCAATAGGCTTCACTCCTTAATAGAACTTGATTTTTAGTAAATATTTCATGTTAATACCGCTTTTCATTTTTTATTTATGATTTTTTTTTAATTTCAACGCCCCTTAAATTCCCCATTTTGGTTCAGATTTTTTTTCAAAATCAAAGGTCTTTTCCCCTTATACAGCTTGATTTTGCTGATAATTTTAAGTTGATATCACTTATCAAGTTAGGATTTTTTTAATATTTCAACCCATCATTTTAATTTAAATTTTGTCAGAATCAATAGGCTTTATCTTCATATAAAGCATGATTTTTACTAAAAATGTAATGTTGATATCGCTTCTCATATTCGATTTATGATTTTCTTTTTAATTTTAACCCCCCTTAACCCCCACATTTGTATGATTTTTTATTAAATCAAAGGACTTCTTCCTATTATAGAGCTTGATTTTTGCTAAAAATTTTAAGTTGAAATAATTTTTTGTTTTTGAACTAGGATTTTTTTTAATACTTCAACTCCCCTTAACCCCCTCATTTTTATTCAACTTTTTTTTAAATCAATAGGCTTCGTCCCCCTATAGATCTTAATTTTTGTGTTTCAACCTCCCTTAACCCCCATTTTGTTCACATGTTTTTAAAATCAATAGGCTCTGTCCGCTTATACAGCTTGATATTTGCTATAAATTTCAAGTTGCCTACAACTTACGTAGACAGTTGGTGGCATGTGAAAAACTTTTTTATTATTAATATTAGAAAAAAAGTTATTCCTCATAAAAAGTCGAGCATGGTCTAAAAACTAAAATGCAACCATCGGATATCAAATTTGATCAGTCGTACACGAGGTTTGTCCAAAATAAAGGTACTTTACTCTTCAGCAAAAATCATATTTTTTGATAAACCTCGTATACGGCCTAAAAAAATTGATATCTGATGGTTTTAGATCATGCAGAACTTTTTATCAAAAAAATTAATTTTTTCACAAAACCAATAATAAAAAAGTTTTCCATATGGTTCCAACTTAGTGGGACATATTGTATATACAACCACTAAACTAAAGAATGAAAAAATAATAGTAAAAAGTATATGCATTCTAAACCACTTGTGTCCTTAATGGTGTTGATGGAAGGAGCAAATACTACGTTGCTAGGTATTCCATTCATGAAGTCTATTTGTTAAAAAGTGTGTCTTTTCAAAATTTAAAAGTTTTCTCTTACTAACTTAATATAAAATTTTCATATAACTTAAACACCATATATCTCAATAGTAGACAACATTTGACCTCTTATTTAGCAAAATATTAATATTTAGAGGACCCCAACCTATGATTATTGACCATTTCTTATGAAATAAATGGTCAACGGTTTTATCTGTTTTAGTGCTACAGGAACCATAACCATGAATACACCAACTGCAACTGAAGCAGAGCAGATCATAGGTCATGGCTAATTGATTGAAAATGATTGTAGGTTCTTTCTCTATCATAATTTCTGTTTAGCCATTGGCGCCATCCGCTCCTGTGTAATCATGTAGATAAATTGTAGATTAACCTTTTAGTCTTTCCCCAACTTTTATGTGAAAGAAGAGACAAATAGTAGGAGTGCCTCCAAAACAGCAAATAAAAATCGCTGTAGTTGGCTTAATTTGTTTAATGAAAGCAGGCCACTTTATCACCAATACATAAAGAAGAAAGGTCTATTTACTCTTGTGTAAAACCTAAGAGTGGCCATGGGAGTGGATTCCTATATCCTGCTAAAGAGCCTTTTACACGTTCAAAACGACGTCATAGCTCTTTGACTTATCCATGGAGGGTTGTCAGAATCGTCATTTTAGTTGGTTAGTTGAAATTTCATATCTTATATCCTTAATATAGATATTTGTCTTTCAAGTAACATTCATGGTATGAGAATACAATACTATTGACAATGCAGTCCCTATTTATATTTATTTTATGAAAATTTACACCATTTTGTTTTGACTGCTAGGTCTTCTAGACAGTATTTCACCATGACGACTGGTGGGGGAACTGCCTTCAAAATAGATAGCAATAGTTTTGCCTGATACTTGCTAATTTATTATTTCTCTTGCACAGTGTTGAATGACTAGCAAATCGACCTGGAGCACTGCTGCATATTTTCTTAGACTCGGTGAAATCGTTGCTTTCGACTTAGGTGTTACACTTTCACTATTATGCACCTACGCGGTCCAGGAGTTTCAATAGGTAAAAAACATTGTTACTCAACTCATACAATAATAACATAATAGTAAGAAAGTGTAATAAATAAATTTTCTATTTAAGGGTTTATAGACGACTTTGGTTTAGAAATTTAGATGTAAAAGTAAATGTCTTCTTTGTCTTTGTAGTTTTATTGATCTCTTTCCTTTTTTCTCCAAGTCAACATCAGCGGAATGTTGGTAATCGTGTATCCATGACTGAAGTGACCATATTTTGAAAAGTAGAAAACGGGACAAATCGAAAACCGTCGACGAATTCTATTATTCAGTAGTGACGGTTTGGTTCATTAAAGAGCAAACAAAAACCGTTACCATAACTGGGCAAAACTAGGACAAAAGCGGGACAAAATCGGGATAAAAGTGGGACAAATGGAGGACAAAAGCGGGACAAAAGTGAGACAAAAGTGGGACAAAATCGGAACTAGTTATATAAAATCGGGATTATCCTGCCTAAATCGGGAGGGATAGCCACTTTACCCATGACAACTTTTCGTCTACACCCAAATACATAAAGGTGTATCACTATATTTCTAAGAAATATCTAACACCCATGTAGAAAATATTTTTATATTTTTACTTAATTTTTATCTTTGTTTTATGTCATAGAAAGTATACATTAAGCACTTGTTAAATCTAAAGCAAACTTCTAAAATTTTTATCAACAGTTTGTTATTAGATAAACGAAATTTTATTAAAAACAAACTAGAATTAGTTAAATATTTGAATGTGTTACGTCATCTACGCTGAATTTGATAAACAGGTAGGTAGATATTAGATATATTTGTAATAGATACTGAATATCTGGTTTGATACAATGATACAGTACGAATATTTCGATTAATTCAATATAGAATATTTAAATACACATCATGATAATTTGAAATATTCTAAAAGAGTGTTTATAAACTAAAAAGTGACAACTGGTACACATATCTACATTAACGGACTAGATTATATATCATTTCATTATTTTTCATTCAAAAATTCCCAAAAAATTCATAAATTAATTAGTCGTCCTCTAGTTGTCATTTCAATTAAAAAATGTATTGTGGCTATTTTTTTTAAATATGTTCTACTCATTTTACCGAATTTGTGCTTGTATAAATCGGTTACAGCAAAAAAAAGTGTGAGCCATTTCATTATTCAGTCATGCTCTAATCCTCCAAGTCATCCTCCAAGTCCCTCTATGTCTTATTTGGCCTTTGAGGCTCAACTTGTCCAATTATCGTACATAATTAAACCCCTTAAGACCAAACATATGTGATGACTATGGCGAAGGCGCTTTCTAGTATATTCCAGATATAATAAGATGTTTCTAGTTTGGCGGAGGAGCATTCTGGAATCCACCAGAATTTTAAATTTGTATATAAATATTGGTGGAGAAACAACGCAGCAGTCAGTTGTATAAGAACATTTATGCAGATAAATAGTGAATAGTTTAAATAAATAAGTGTTTACATAAATTAATTATAAATAAACTGTTGTTTGAAATAAACAAACATTATATTATGTATAAGTGATAAATTATTACGCTAAATTTACAAACTTATAAATATTATTAAATATTAACATAGTTATATCTCATTCTTAACATAAAATAAAAAAAAATAGATCGACTAACAAATAAAAAATCTAACCTCGCACACACAAACAAATGGGTTACATCATAACGAAATTACCGTCAAAAAGAGTTAAACAAAAGTTGTACATAACACTAGTTTATAATACTAATACTCAAGCTTAATTAGATATTTGAAAAAAATTAATTTAGACGTATTTTGTAAATAATATATTACGCCACCTAGCGGCAAGATGCAATCTTAAAAATATTTTAATTTATTTTCGTCAATTTTATCAAATGAATGGTTTCAAGAATAGCCAGTACTACACTTAATGAATTACCCTGTAGGTACTATTTTTGCTCATAACAATGCTGTGGACCGTCATTTAATTTAATTGGGTACGTCCAATGGGTTAATAGCAGATTCGTGTTCCTCAAATTTAATAATCGGCCATAAACAGTTTTTAA